TTACCTGCTTAATTGTTGAAAAAGGATTTTCATGAAGTTAAATTTGAGTTAAAGGATTTTTACCTATCTTTCACAGGTTTACTGTTTTTAATGGTTTTACTGCTTCATTATAGCATGCTTTGTACCTTATGTGATTTCCTGCTTTCAGTCTTTATTCATGATTATTACTCACTAAATTGGAGTACTCACTTTACTCCCTGCACCCTGTGTGCAAATTCAGGCACATCTGGTCCAGCTATTGAGTGCTGATCATTTCCGACTCAAGCAGATCCGAGGAGTCTCTAGGTAGCTGTTGGCGTTCGCAGCCCAGAGCTCTTCCCTATCTTATTCCTTCATATTCTTAGTTTTCTATATTATACTCTGTAGTTGATTGGGAGTATTCCGTGTTGTTAGATGCTCATGACTAGTGACACCCCGGTATCGGGCTGTGTTGGGTTATTTTTCGCGAGTTATGCTATTAACTGCTTAAACCTTGGTTTATTTGATCATGCTTTAGACTCTTCCTTAATGCTTAACTGTTCAATACTGAAAATGGTAGTGTCGACTGGCCTTGTCTTCATGAGAGGCACCATCACGACCGGGTCCGGGTTTAGGGCCGTGACATATATTTTCTTGCACGAACAACTGTATGTTGCACTTTCAAAAGGGATATCAAGATCGACAACAAGGGTTCTGGTTAAGGCAAAGCAACCAAAGCATTATGAGGAAACATACACAAAAAAATATTGTCCACAAATAAGTGTTCATTAAGATACCATTACATTAAATACTTTTAAACTATAATACATAATTATCTAACTAACATGATAAAATTGATCATTTATGTAAGTTATGATGATGTTCTTTTATTTTAAATTCATGTATTATGCTAATGTAAATATTTTTGGTATTTAGATGATTGTTGTATTACTAAACATTAAAAATTTCTTGTTAATTAAATTTTATTATTTCTTTATATAAATAAATATTTAAACCATCACGTGCTAGTATTAACGTACAACCATAGATACTAGTTTCCTAAAACATAGCGGCGTTCCATCTCAAATTGAATGGTCTTATTTCCTATTAGTCGACACAATTTTTTTTGGAAGCATGTCTAACTTATCAAAAGTTTCAGGGTATCCGCTTTACTCTTCTCTCTAGGTGTGATGACCCGGCCAGTCGTCTCATGAGTTACCACTCTGTTTCCCCCATTTCTGCTTCTTTATGCTTTGTTATCTGTGTTTTATGTGATCGGGTTAATCGTTTGAGTTCGAAGAGGATTTGGTAAGAAATGAGACACTTAGTCTCTTTTAAGAAGGTTTAAGTTGGAAAAGTCAACCGGATGTTGACTTAGAGTTAGAGGGCTCGGATGTGAGTTCTGATGGTTCGGTTAGCTTCGGGAAGTGATTTATGGCTTAGAAGTGTGATCGGAATGGGTTTTGGAGGTCCGGAATGGAATTAGGCTTGAATTGGCGAAGTTGAGATTTGATTTCCGGTTGATAGGCGAGATTTTGATATAAGGGTACGAATGGAATTCCGATAGTTGTTGTAGCTTCGTTGTGTCATTTGGGACGTGTGTGTAAAATTTCAGGTCATTCGGACGTGGGGGTTGGGTTTTTTATCAAAAGCATTTTTCGGAAGATTTTAGAAACTTAGGCTTGAATTCGATGAGTTTTGGGTAATTTGATGTTGTTTGAGGTCTTTTGATGATTGGAACAAGTTTGAATAAGGTATTGGGTCATGTTTGTGCTTTGGTTGAGGTCCCGGGGGCTCGAGGTGATTTTGGATGGTTAACGGGAAGAATTGAGACTTAAGAGATTTCAAAAAATTGCTGCTTCTGGTGTTTTCACACCTGCAGCTTGGGGACCGCAGGTGCGGTGCCGTACGTCCTAGGGTGTAGGCCGTAGATGCAAGATTTGGGCTAAGGGTCAGGAACCGCAGAAGCGGAGTTTTGGGCCGCATCCGCGTAATCGCAGATGCGGAGGGAGTTCGCAGATGCGATTTTGGGCTGGTTTAATGAATTCCGCAAAAGTGGAGGTTTGACCGCAAAAGCAGTACCTTAAAAGCGGGTTTTGGACCGCAGATGCGGAAATACCTGGGCAAAAGGTATATATTTCATCCTTCGCGATTTTTTGAAGGGTTTAACCATTTTTAACTCGGAATTGGGAGCTTTGGGCGATTTTGAAGAGAGAAATCAAAGAAACTTCATTGAGGTAAGGATTTTGGACTTAAAATACATTTCTATGGTAAAATTTCATGATTTAGGACTGAAATTAAGGGATTAAAGGACTAAAAATGGAGGTTTAGGGCTTAAGTTTAAGAGGCCTTTAATGGAGGATTTGAGGGGTCATTTGAAGTCCGATTATGGTATTCTTAATATGTATTAACTCGTGGGGAGACGAGGATTCTAATGATGTGAAAATTTCTGAGTTTCGAGAAGTGGGCCCGGGGCTCGGGTTTTGCTAATTTCGGGATTTTTGGTATTTTTCGATTGTTTTCGCTTGGGCTTTGTTCCCTTAGCATATTGTGATGTATTCGTTCTGATTTTGGATAGATCCAACGCGCGTGGAGGCCGATTCGAGAGGTAAAGGTGTCGCGAGCTAGAGATTTAGCCGGTTCGAGATGAGTAATGATTGTAAATGATGCTCTGAGAGTTTGAAACCCCGAATTGCACATCGTAGTGCTATATTGAGGTGAGACATACGCTTGATGACGAGCGTGGGGTTGTGCACTATTGGGGATTGTGACTTGGTCCGTCCCGATTGAGGATTTTACCGCGTATTTGACTGAAACTTATTTGCTATCATCATGATTTGGGTTGATTGCCATATTTGGGCTTCGTGCCAACTATTTGAACCCTTCGGGAATTTTTATCACTATTTCCTCACTGTTTTGACTTGTTACTTGAACTCAATCATGATATTTTTCCACTATTTTTACTATTAAGCTATTCTGTCTCAGTTTTCAAGACTTAAATGATATTTTGAATGATGTTTGGGCTAAAAACACTATTTTACTATTGCCCGAGGGGCTTGTGATGATTTTTGGACTGAGTAAGGCCGAGTGCCTATATTGTGAGGAACACTGACACTGATATGAAGCCGAAGGCCTGAGATACATATATTCGCCACGCGGTGGCTTGATTGATACGAGGCCGAGGGCCTATATTTGATGCCACGAGATGGCTTGTTGTTGCGCTTGGGCCGTAAGGGGCCTCTCCCGGAGTCTATACACCCCCAGTGAGCGCGGGTATCCATTGTGATGTGAGATTGAGCCCGAGGGACGGAAATTGTTGATACTGTGCCCGAGGGGCGAACTTCTATGTGCTTACTTTATCTTAATTGTCTGTCAATTACCTGTTTATTTATTGTAGAAGTATTTTATTCTACTTTTCATTGGTTTACTGCTTACAAATTACTTATTTGACTGCTTCATTATGGAATACCCTGTGTATACGTGTTTTCTTATTTTCAGTCATTATTTATATTTATTACTCACTGGGTCGGAGTACTCACATTACTCCCTGCACCTTGCGTGCAGATCCAGGTGCCCCAGAGGTCGAGTGAGAGCTTTTCAGTCGTTCAGCATTTGTCGGGGATTTCGAGGTAGCTGCATGGCGTCCGCAGCCCTGATTTCTCCCTTCTATCTTATTACTTTTCCGCATTCCTAGACTATCTACGTAGTAGGTTGTTTAGACTTGTATTAGATGCTCTAGACTTGTGACACCAGATCAGTGTTCATAGACTTCCACATATCTAATTTGCTAATTTACATACTTATTATGATAATTGGTTATTAAACCGTGTTAGCAAATGATTTATTAAGAATGAAAAAAATGGGTTGTGGTTTGATAGTTGGTCCGGCTTGCCTAGTAATGTGATAGGCGCCATCACGACCGGTATTTGGGATCGTGACACTAGGGCAATTTGTTTAATATATTCAAAAAGCCAAAATTAAGATAAGTGCCCATAGATTCCCTCATACTATAAACCAAATAATACAAATTTTCAAAATAGTCGTAGAATGTTAAGCGCACATCTAATTCAAGTGAGTAGGCTATTTAGCAATTCATAAAATCGTCAGTATTACAATTCATCTCGCACGGTGTGCTTTAAGTGGGATAAGTAATTCAAGTATTATAGAGTAGTTCCTATTTGCAAGAACCAAAAAGAGACCTATATAGCATTTATCACAAAAAGACCTCTTAACCTGCTCTTTCCACAGACCACAGCCACCGCCGTCCGTTTATTGCTATAAATTTTTAGCTGCAATTTTGTTCATCTTATGATGCCCTTACCCACTAATTTTTTGGAAGAGTTTTATAAACATGAATAAAGACTGAAAGCAGGAAATCACGTAAGGCACAAAGCATGCTATAATGAAGTAGTAAAACCATAAAAAATAGTAAACCTGTGAAAGATAGGTAAAAATCCTTTAACTCAAATTTAACTTCATGAAAAGCCTTTTTCAACAATTAAGCAGGTAATGGACGGCAACGATAACCTGTGCCTCTTTACCTGTGCAATTCAGATTATATTCCGGAAAGTGTAATGGATGGCAACGATAATAAGCAACTTACCTAATACAGTCAGATGACAATGAGCCAATAACAAACAAGACCACCAATCTCACTCGTAATCGATCTAATTACTTATTTTATTCCTCATTATCTTGTCCATGATCTACCGCACTAAACAGTCTCTTTGCTTTCACTCTCCCATTCCTTGGCTTGAAACTGGTAAAAAATGGAAGAATTGCCAAGCTAAACAATAAAAACCATATTCTTTGTCCCCAGGCCAACCAGAAAAGCATTTCATAGCATATTCTGTTACTTCAATTTTTTTGAGAAAATTTTGTTACTTTTATCTAATTAGTAAACATGGTTGCTTAATCAAATAAACGTTGAAGTCACGACCACAAAAAATCCTTTTTCTTTCAATATAAGCAAATGCTTTATTAATCTGGCACCAAGAAGGTGCGGTGGTCATGTATAAAAGGTGCACAAACACAGAAGTCACTATCGGTAAAAACAATCTGTGGATATTTGAAATTCAAGTAGCCCAGTGCTATGCATGCCATTCTCTGTCACCATAGTTTTCAATAAGCCGAGGTGAAGGAAAAGCAAAATGCATACAACAAGTGCTTCTAATGTTTGATCTTGTAACAAGACTGTCAACAGATAACACATTTTATACAACCCTATCAAAGAAAAATGAATGTCTACTAACAATGTTACAGCTTATACCAGAGTAAATCCACTCTGTTGGAATCAAATGACTGCTATGACAAAGCTGCTGCATGATCCCAATTCTGAGAAAAAAGAAAATGGAAAAGATAAGCTGGTGAAATAAAGTTGCAAAAGCACCGTGAACATGAGCAAAAAATATGGATTGCAATCAAACTTTTTCAAGTTGCAACACCACCTACTCCCCCGGGAGTGGGTGTGTGGGGGGTTGTGTTATCCCTTAAGTTCGTTATCTAAAGAGAGTGTCAATATTCATGTAATTTTCAGCACCAATGATGTTAGTCTGAAACAACGCCAAAATTTAGCATCAAGAATGTTCCCAAAGACTCGTAATAACCAAGCCTTTTATTCAGACAAGCTCTTTCTAGAACTAATAGCCCGCCCAAACTGCAAAAACTTATTTTGAGAAGTGCTTTTTTTTTTAAAAGTGTTTTTCTCAAAAGTACTTTTGGTGAAAAGCAGTTTATGTTTGGCTAATTAGTTTGAAAAGCACCCCTGAGCAGCAATCCTGAGCAGCAATTAGTGTTTGACCAAGCTTTAAAAAAATGCTTCTAAGTGTATTTTTCTCAAAAGTGCTTCTTAAAAAAGTGTTTTTGGATAGAAACTACTTTTTTTCTGCTTCTCCAAAACTGCTTCTGCTTCTGCTTCTCCTCAAAAGCACATTTTTCAATTCCAAAAGCTTGGCCAAACACCTCAATTTTTAGCCAAAAGTGCTTTTGGCCCCAAAAAAAAAAGCATTTTTGGCCAAAAAGAAGCTTGGCCAAACAGGCTATAAAGCATTAAACTCTTCTGCCAGTAGTCAAAGCAAACCGCCAGAAAGCAGTTCATCAACAGAATTGTGATTTGGCCAAGATGACATTGGTTTGAGATATATAGACATCTCCAAAGTCTTCTATCTAAGCAGCATTACACATACTCCTCATTCAGTTCGGTCTTTAGATATTCTACCCAGAAGCGTTCTAGACATTGCAGTACTTTATAATTGACCAAATCCTCTCAAAGACAGGCATAACGTAACCAATTATAGCCTATAGTACAAATTGAGACTTCAAATCCACAGGCAGAACCATTAACAGTCTTCTTGTCGGAGTAAAAAACAATTCTAGTCAACCTTAGTTTCTCTAAATCAACACACAAAGGCAACTTAAATCTCACTAATAAGGTGGCGCAATGTTTCCGATGAACGAAGTAACAAAGATGTACTACATCTAAAATAGATTTCTAAATCCACAGGCAGAACCAATAACAGCCTTCTTCTCAGAGTAAAAAAAACAATTCTAGTCAACCTTAGTTTCTCTAAATAAAAACACAAAGGCAACTAAAATCTCACTAATAAAGTGCGCAATGTTTCTGGTGAGCGAAGTAACACAGATGTACTTCATCTAAAACAGATTTCCAGATCATGTCATATCTAAACTAATAACTCCATGTGTAGTCACCGCCTTTATAACTCGGCAGACTGCATAATCTACAATGTCAAAACTTGTTTGACAATGTTAATAGCGTAGCTCTTAAAGAAAAATCCGGAAGTAAACTATTGCCCTAATCTTAAAGAATCTTCCTCTTCTGTTACCTGCCCTCTAATGATGTTGGGCATATTTATGTATGTTTAGATATTACATTATTCACATTCTTACCACTTTTTAGTTGTATTTGATGTTGAACATGCCTAACTTAGCTTGAATATCGAGTACTACAACAACAACAACGCCATTATAGTCCCACAAGTGGGGAAAGCTTGAATATCGAGTCTTACACTAATTTGGATGTTAATGGATGATAGGGGTACATGGGAGATGGAATTTGGAGCAAGAAACGAAGAAATATGGCAAGGAAGAATTCAATGCCTAGGCCACTGCTCCACCACGGTGCCAGTAGCACGCAACACTTAGGAATTTCCAGAGAGCAATTTCAGCGCCCATGACCACCGCCCATGGTGCCTGTAGCACCCAAAACAAAATGTGCAAATTTTCCACCACGCTTAGTGGTGCGTCGCGCCCCCTAGGGCAATCAAGCGTAATCCCTATGTGAATAGGAAGGGGTCCAACTGCTTGTAAAAGGACTCTAACCTAGTTTGAGGGGAGATTCGACTTTTGGAGGAAGAGAGGATGGCTAAAGCAACTAGGGAACAAATTCAATCCTAAGCTTTTCTTCTCTTTTTCTTTTCTTTAATATTAAAGTTCCTTAGTTTTAGGGTGACGGTGCTACATGATTGTTGATGTTTGACGCTTGAATTGACTTATCATATTGGTTAGCTTAATTATTTGATTGTTTGGCCAACTAACTATGAATGCTGAATTGAACTCGGAAATAAAAATTCTAGATTGCAATAGGATTGAATAAAGCAAATTCTTGCACCTAGACCTCGGGGAATGGATTCATAGTTAGCGTATGAATATACCTAATCGTCTTGCTTGGTTATTAGCCAGGAATTACTAAAGCGTTCTTGTTAATTCTAATTCTATAAGAATATAGGCATTATTTTAACTTGAATTGGCGAGTAATGATTCAATAAATTCTTATGAGCAATACTAACTTTGTCAACCAATAAACCAAAAAAATTAATTAGTCAATTTATGTGAGTGACTCAACCGGATTGTTAAATGACCCATAATCTCTAGAATACTTTGTCTTATTGAATTTTACAACCTAAGTTTGCTTGTTCGTTTTCTTTACTTGTTTATTTTCTAGTTTCGTAGTATTATTAGTTACTGTATAAAACCAAAAGGTCATTCATCCATTGAGGAAAAGAACAATCCTTATTCCCGAACTCAATCAAGGTTATAACTTATATTCCTTTTGCGAGGAACAATTGTCAAGTGAATGTTTTCCAATAGACCACCCCATCCTTATCCATCAAAAAGCTGCTATTGGTATTTTCAATTGCCAATATCTTATTTATCATCGATGATTCCAAGGTTAAAACTTGCATGGGAAACTTTTAGATATTGTTGTTAGCTCAAAATTTCATCAACAAATCTTTCGGTACTTTAAAAAAACATGCAATAGACAACCAATATAGCAGAATTACACTTACAACAACAACGGCCCATTATAATCCCACTAGTGGAGTTTGGGGAGGGTAGTATGTACCCAGACCTTACCTCTACCCTGACAGGTAGAGAGGCTGTTTCCAGAATGGCACTTACCTAAATTAAAATAAACAAAAAAATAACAGATATCACACAAACAAAACACACAGATACTGTATTCAATAGACATAAATGCAATTTGATAACATTGCATGTTTATTCATATATTAACACACATACACAGATATGAAAGGTTAATACCAAAATACCACAATGCTTATAGAATTACAGCATACTTTCTTCTTTTGTAGTTCAAAATAATTCAAATACAATACTTTATTACATTGTCAAAGCAACCGACACAATTACACAAAGCAATTACTACATAACAACTTTGATTCTCATAGTTGCTTCCTTGTCATACTCAATAGATGTTATAACACTAGCAAACAAACACTCGAAATGCACAATTGAAACAGGTAAATTGGGGGGAAAACAAGAAAAAGAAATTTTACCGAGTAATGTAGAATTAAACGGGGAGTTTATCAACGGAGGTAGGATTGGTTGCAGGGGGTAAAGAATCGAGGTGAGAAGGTAGTGTGGAGACCATGAGAGGGCGATCTTTAGCTTCTTCCTCATCCTCGTCGTCGGATTCGGAGGTGTTGAGATTCACACACGAGCATCGTTCTAAAGATGCGAAAAATGCCGACGCAACGCTCGTACCGAACCACCTAGCTAAACCGTCGAGCTTTTCGTATGACATGATTGATTGAATTCTGCAAAATTTATGGATCAAACAGAAAACCCTAATTCAGCGAAGAGAGGGATTTGGGCGAGGCGAAAATGGTCAATGAGGTGGTGGCTTTCTTCTGAATATCAGCTAGGAATTACAATTTGTCTTTATCCTAACTGCCAGATGTCGATCCTTGGTTTATTCTTGGCCCACGTCTCTTGCTGCGTTTTAGGGTGGTCTGATTATGCAACAACTCATACACAGTTACTCCCTACTCCCTGCCTTCACTATATTTGTGTGCTATACTAATTTACTTTTATTTGTCTATTTTAGCGTATCAAGATAGATAATTTTTTCTTCTCATGTTTTACCTTTATCATTAATTATTCATTATTCAAAATTTTTTAAAATTTTATCATTATTATGGATAAAATAAAATAAATACTTTATTTATTTTTTCTTAAAGTAAGTGCAAAATTAAAAGTAGACAATTACAAGTGAAGGGAGGGAGTAAATATAAAAATATAGTATTTTATTAGATGACGACTTTGATATATATTAAAAACTAGTATATTCTCTATAATTTAAAATATGTATCTAAATTTTAAATAATTAAAAATAATTTTCGTATTATGAAGGTTACTGTTACCCACATTTTGCAATATGCCCTTTTTTTCCTTTCTTTTTCTCTTTTCATGACTAATTACAAAGGACATACGAGTTGAGATACTTATTAGAAATTACCTCAAGACTGGGGGAGGTTGAAAAAAATCCAATGTCCCTGAAGTCAAAATTCCTTATGTGACACGGGCTCCAAATTAGTACAGTTTGGTGTAAAAATATCATGAAGTTAACGCATCAATACTAGGGAACTGCTTAGTGCTTATGCTTGATATCATAGTTCGTCCACAATTGCTAAAACCATGAGGAATCTTGATATCTTTCTAAAGCAAGGACAACTTGATAAAAGAGATGGATATTGTTGCAAGCAAAGTAAAGCATCATTGTCCTTGCACATGAAACCTGATTGCCATAATTTGAATGTTGACACACATGATGAAACCAAACAAGATGTTGAATCTAATCCCTAAATGGAACCCATAAAGCAAGAAAGATTTCAAGTACAGCTGTCAATATGGTTGGGTCAGCCCACGTGGGCTTTAGCAATTGACGGGCTGGGCTAGCCCATCATTTTAATGAGTTTTATAATGGTCAACCCATCCCGACCCTATGTAGGCTACGGGCCCTCACGGGCCGGTCCATCATTTTTTAAAATATGATTTTATATTTTTTCTTTAAGTTCTAAATTTAAAAAAGATAAATATTTAAAAGTTAAAAAAATCTTATTGGTTCTAATATATCACAATAAAAGTTAATAAATATTTTGAAAAGATAAATATTTTTAAAATAACTTTTTATACGGTTATAATATATCACAATAAACACTAAAAAATTAATGACAAGATTATATTTCATTCACTGAAAGTCAAAACTCAAAATAAACTATTCAAGATAACGTCCATGACGCTTATGGGATATCCAACACACCATCTTCATAAAACACATTTGAATCCGCTTGTGAGAAGATTCTCTTAACATCTTCACTTTCATCTACATCTACAATTCGTATGTAATATTAATTAGTTAAATATTAAGAATAACAAAATTTTTAAAACTAATTAACGATTTAAGACTTTGATCTTTTAATATGATGAGCTTAATAAACTTTAAGCTTGGGATACTCTTCTTGTTATTTTTTATATCGTATATTTTTTATACTTTATAAATTTTAAATACGTATTTTTATTAGGCCGACGCACCGGCCCAGCCCAGCCCCAATCAAGCCCCACGGGCCACGGGCTTACTTGGGCCAGGCTTAAAAGCCTCGTTTTTAAATGGGTCAAAAAATTCTAGCCCAACCCTGCTAAATCACGGATTGGGCTGGCCCATATTGACGGTGATGATGTCCATCTCATTGAAGAAGTATTAGGCATGTGCCTAATAAGAGTTTTCTTTGGTTTGGTAGCCAACCTTGTTGACTTGGTTTGGTTGGTAGCCAACCTTGTTGAATTTCTTTGGTTTGGTAGCCAACTTTGTTGAATTGTGAAAAATGTGTGTAAATTGTCAAATATTGTAGGCTTTAGAGGGTGAAGCTTTGGCTATAAAAGGAGAGCTTCAACTCTCATTTCTTCACACCAACAAAGAGAGAAAGAAAGAGTGAGGTTTCACAGACAAGGTATAAGAAAATAGTCTGTGAGGAAAATAGAGAGTGAGCGATATTGTAGTGAGGTGGGAATATCAAAAGAGGGTTATTTCTTTTGAGTGTTGTAGTGGTCTTTGGAGTATTTACCTCCGACCTACAAAGTGTAAAATTCCTTACTATAGTGATATCAGTTGCTCCTCTCGGGGTCGTGGTTTTTTTTCCCTTATTCAGAAGGGTTTTCCACGTAAAAATCTTGGTGTCATTGTTACTCTTTTATTCTTGTTAATTACCGTATCTCGGTGCTACATTATTATTCCGCTTTATTACCGTGAATATTATTTTGGTAAGGGGTTTATTCCCAACAGACGGCTCTAATTTCAAGATTCAATCAGCACAACAGATGGCCTCTATTTATATAGGCTCTTTTCTAGTTATTCAGGAACATTAGGCTTATATATTCTTTCCCATTTCAGGTGTGGAGATCCCTTCCTATATTGCCATTTCAAATGCTGCATTTTTGTCTATGAGGTACAGACAGAATGTAAAGAAGAAGACATTCATTCAACTTTGATGTACAAAAAGTGAGCAGCCTTAGTTCTTCAAGGTTAAAAATTAAATAGAAACAGAATATCAGACCTTTATCTTGTCAACTTTCCTACTGCCAATAAATATCAGGGAGTTTATAAAGCTGAATAACAGAGTCAAGGGTGCATCCCATCATATCTGACCATTTTAAGGATTGACAAAAATTATGAAAAGCTTCAATTTAAGCACCCAGAGAAAAAAAAAAAACAAGTTTCTTTTCAAGCAACGAGTTTATTGCATTTCGTTACACATTGGCAGTAATTTTCGCCTTCAATTGGAATAGTTTCAGGGAGGTGTAATATTTCTGGTGATACAAACCGAAAAGACATGCCTATATTCTATTGCATTCAACACATCTATCACAAAATCTATCTTATTCTATGCTCTAAATTCATAAGATATATCAACTGGTACGTGTTTTGACGAGTTAGATTGAACGAGAAACTCAAGTAATCGTCATAGATAAACTACTAATCCATTAATCTGAAAATTCTTTTATGAACTGACAGGGCAATAATATTGTGAACCATAGAACTACACAAGTATGTATTACACATCATGTTCTCAAAAGACATGTTGAGTGGAATATTCAGTAATCAGTGCTATCCTGACAAGGATCAAACTTTAGAATTTGTGGCAACAATTGGGCTTCTAACCACATATTTACCTCCCTTTTCCATCCATCTTAAAGAACCATGAACCAAGAAATCATTCATTAGTTTTGGACATTCTATCCTCAGCTTGTAGCTTTGCTTTTCATACTTGTCTTTGAAAACCAACTTTTCAGGAACAATACTAACTTTAAGTCCAGGCATTGCTGTCAGCTCGGCTGTATATTCTGACACACGTTCTCCGACATTAGTCACTGTCCTCTTGAATTCTTGTATTCTTGTAGGATCCAACTCGCTGCTATTCACGTTGAAATAGGCAATGAAAGATGGATAGTTTAGGTCCAATGATGGGTTGGGGCAAGTATAAGAGGACCTAGTGATGGTTTTTATCTGCTTGGATGTGAGATTTAGAGCACAAAGAAGATTAATGTAATCTTGTGGTGTCGTATCATAGATGAGTCCAGGATCTATTGCCTTGTTAGGATTGATATGGCCAGCTCCCATAGCAAGAGGAGTGGCAGCAGCATTCTCTGGACGACCGATGTCTTGGATGGGGTTTTGTGTATTGTCTAGAACATCTGCTGTAGTCATCATGGCCGAACGAATGGCAGCTGGGCTCCATTCAGGGTGGGACCCTTTAACAAGTGCAGCTAAACCGGCAGCGTGTGGACATGACATTGATGTGCCAGATATGATGTTAAAGATATTGTGAAGTTCAGTATATAGACTAACAGATGATAGTGGAGACCATGAAGCTAGTATTAAGTGACCAGGAGCCATCAGGTCAGGTTTGAGGATGAACGGGCAGGTCGTTGATGGCCCCCTCGAACTAAAATGTGCGACAGCTGGTGCTCGTCCGACACCAATTAGTGTCCCTTGAAGTCCAATCTTTGCTTTTGGTGAAGAAGTGTTGTTAACATATTTCAAAACTTGATCACCATCTTGGAAATTCAGAAACACAGATGGGAATTCTGTTTTGAGGTATTCGCCCAAGTCAGTGACAAAGTCATTTGTTATGAAGATAGCACCAGCAGCATTTGAATGTCTCACATTTTCAACTTGTTTCCCAACCAATGAGTTTTTGTCAATGCAGACCACAAATTTGTCTGTAACATTTTGCAATTCCTGCTCATCTAAGCAATTCTTGACAAGAATAATAGAAATATCGTTTGTAGAATTCCCAGGGTAGAGAGATAAACCAGTGACTGAAACTCCATTACCAAGAGTTAATATCCTGATAACGTCACGGTCAACCGTGCTAGCAGCAACAGAGAGAAACCAAGGTGCCTCATTGCTCAAAGATTGATCGAAAGGCCCAGAGTTTCCAGCTGAAACGGAAACAAATATGCCTTTCTCCATGGCAGAAAATGAAGCAATAGCGATAGGATCTATATATAGAGGAAATGGAGAACTGCACCAAATGACAAGGATAAGACATCACAACCATCCGCAATTGCCTGATCCAATGCAGCAAGAATATCAGAAATAGTACCGGCTCCATCCCAGAGAGCCTTATACACAGCCACATGAGCCATTGGTGCGACGCCTATAGCAAAACCAGGGGCATAGCCAAAATAAGACGCACCCTTTACAAGACTTCCAGCAGCTGTAGAGGAAGTATGAGTTCCATGTCCCTCTGTATCACGGGCAGAATTTTTCGTGATGGTAAGATTCTTCACTTTAGCAAGTAGGCCTTTGTTGAAGTAACGAGCTCCGATGAGTTTCTTGTTGCACAATGAAGAATTAAACTGAGTGCCAGTTTGACATATTCCTTTCCACCTTGATGGAACTTGAGTCATCC